AGGCAAGGGAGAAATATATACATAAATATATAAATAGTCCGCGGTGACGCAAAGAAAGGTTCTGCATATGGTCTCGATGTGGTTAACGTTTGACTCAATGTGCATGAAAATCCTTCATGGGGTTTAGGAGATAAGGAGCGGGCATGAAACCCAAGTCACAATTCTTTGACCTGTATGTGTGACCCCGACCTTGAGCCGGCACAGCTGGCATATAAGTTCTGCACATTATCTGGATGTGCTAAACAATTGATCCAAGTTTCATAAAAATCCTTCAAAGCTATAAGCATTTTTTTCTAAACCAGTTGGATTATAAGGACCTATTTAGATCTTTTATTGTTGGCATCCGCGCCGAAGCGCGGCGCCTCTTATGGAATGAAATCAGATTTTGTGAAAGGGCGACAGCAACTTCTCGAGCCTTTTAGTCGGACATAATAAAAGCCGATCATTCCGATCGGTATGAGGGTGCTTGATTATTAATTAAAAATGAAATGTCGCGATATATACAATGAATAACGAACTGGAGAATTTCGCAATGCAAACATTTTCAAATGAAATAACATTTTCCGTAAATAAATCGCGCTCTTCGGGGTAATTTTTTTATCATTTTGTAGTACACAGTGTGTTATTATGGTATGTTATTGTTGTACATGTATCCGAAAGCTGAATAGAATGATGAGTCTGTTGATGACCTAAATATTCCAAAAATCTATTTATAGAGGGATGTACTTCTATCGGTAATTCCCGGTCTCTCCTGGTCTATTTTCACCGTAGGGAACGTGTTACAGTGTCGCATTTTTTGGTTACAGTATAGGATTTTCAAGATGGATGATTATTTATGGGAAGAGAGGTAGGTGATTTTTATTCAGGTCCATACAACAAGTAGTTAAGTTTCTAAAAGATGTTTTTGTGCTTTGCTTGTGCATTATTGTAATACACCAGTCATTTTAACCACCTCCCTCACCCCGGGATAGTGCGGGTTGAAAAAAGAATCTTGTTTTGACGTTTGCACTGTTTCGGGGAATAAGGCAGGGATGTTATTATCTGAGTCCCCCCCCCAGGGCGAATATTGTACAAGAGGTCGGCTTGGTTTAATGCCCCCCACCCCGCTATTCTCAGGGTGTTGGGTTGAATAATTACTTATCACCAATCAACAGCGTTTTCCAAATGAACACTAATATAATAGTATGTAATAACAATAATAAAAAAATAATTATGTAAAATACATAATTATAATTTAAAAAGTGGGCCAAAAAGGGTCGGCCTTTCGCTCGAAACCAGACTTGCCCGGCCGAAAACGACTAGGCCGATTCCAAAAATGGGCAGAATTATGACCTAACCACTGTGCTACTATTGTAACCGTGTTTTATTCTCAACTATGAGCTGTTATGAGATGTGAAGACTGTTTTGATTTGCTAAATAGGTACGAAAAACAAAAATAAAATATGTACGAAAAACAAAAATAAAATATGTATGCAAAACTAAAAAAAAAATATGTATGCAAAACTTAAAAAAAAAATATGTTATCAAAACAAAAATAAAATATTTATGGAAAGTTTAAAAAAATATGTATGCAAAACTAAAATAAAATATGTATGCAAAACTAAAACAAGAGGGCCATGATGGCCCTGAATCGCTCACCGGAAACAACTGTTTTTCAGTGATTATAGAAATATCTTTTTCAAATAAACTTGTAGAAAAGCAAGTCCAGGTCAACTTCAACTGGCCTCTCTAGTTGTAAGGTTTCGACACTGATTGTTGTTTTTTTCTTTATAGTAAAATGATAGAAACCAAGTTTGGGTCAATATTTATTTAAGATAACATTGGTATACTAGTCAACTCGACTTGAAAGTTAACATTTCAGGTTAATTATCTTACTCCCTAATAGAAATGGGGAAAATGTAACTTTAAGTTAACTACATAGAGGAAAAAGGCAAAAGGTTGTTTTAATGAAATGTATTCAGTGACCATGAAAACAACTTTACAAACATTGTATGAAACAGTGCAAAATTATTTTCAACAAGTGATAACCAAGTTTGCAAAATGTGATTCTGAATAGAAAATATTGAAATCGAAACTGATAATAAAATAGCACAAAAAATAAAAAATGACAAAATACATAAAGACAAGCAAGAAATACTTCTAAATTTGCCGTGAGTTCACATAAACTTAAGTTTTGTTCCTTAATGTAAAATGCAAGTTACAAAAGATTATAAAGTAAAATAAGATGAAAAATAATTCTAGCCATATCTACATTTATGAAATAAATTTATTACTATTTAACTTATTAGTTTGAGTGTTTTTCTATTGAAAAAATATTTTAATATTACCTAGTAATGAAAAAAAAAGAAGAAAAAAAAGTAAGAAAAAAACATAAGAAAAAAAAACTGAAGTCCATGTTAGTAAGGTGTAATAATTCTTTAGGTCTTATTTCATTTCCTGGGGGTGACCTACAAATGAACCTGCAATGATGCAATGCCCACAAACAGAAAGATACAAAGCAGGTGAATGACCTCAAGATCTCTGAAAAGCAAACAGGTCATGACATTAAGACATTCAATCTTTTTTTATGCATAACATGTACATGTATGTATACGAATGAGACAAAAATAAAGTATGAATATATACATGTCAACTTTTTTCAATGTTCAAGAGGGAGAATTTACTTCAAAAAGAGGGAGATTTTTTAATTGACAATAGACATAGAAGGAATTTTTGAAATGAAAAAGAGGGAGATTTCTTTATTTTTTTAAAACACCCCTTATTCTTAGCAATATAGTTAAAAAAAATTGACAGGAGAAAGAGGTTGTCTCCCGCTCAAATTGGGAGAGTTCATATGTATGCATGTACACATATATAGAAAAATTCCAATATGAGATATTTTCCTTTCATTATTCAACTATAATTTGAAGAAATACCATGGCCCGGGGCATTTCAGCTATAGTTGCTCCTAATGGGGGCCATAGGGGCTAATAAAATAAATATGAGCAAACTTGATAAAGAGACTACAAAAGAATGCTACAGACAAAGTTTGGTGATCATCAATCATTAGTTCTGTAAACTAGAATTGTGTCCAAATGACACGGATGCCCCCACCGACAACATATATATGGTATATAGTGAAAAAATTAACAAAGGGCCATAATTCTATAAATTTGCTGGCAGCGAAAATTCCTTCCTTTACTACCATCTCACATTATGAAAGTTTAAGCAAAATCTGTCATCCGGTTTAAGAGAAGTGGATTTCACAAAATTTCTACGTAGTATATAGTGAAAAAATCAACAAAGAGCCATAATTCTGTTAAATTTGGTCGCAGCAAAAATTCCTTCCTTTACTACCATCTACACATTAAGGTTGTTCATCCCTGGAAGTTTGCATGTGTTTACAATACATTACTTAATATATGAAATTAATAGGAGCTTTATTTGCCAAAAAAGGTCAAATTATGTTTATTTATAAAAATAACCATACAGAAAGTAAAAATATCCATGATAATAATAATATAGCTTCACTGAGACATAATCTGAGACAGCCAAACCTTGTCTCAATATATCTGAGAAAAATCTCAAATCTTAAGTTGAGATTTTTCTTAATATTTTTAGTGATTGCCAAACTGAGAAAAATCTCAATCTCAATTTCTGAGTTGAGAAAAATCTCAGATTTGAGCTGAGATTTTGAGTTTGAGAACGTTAGTGAAAGCCATAGCTTAGTCTCAATACATCTGAGAAAAATCTCAGATATATAGTTTAGATTGTTCTCAATATTTTTAGTTCCAGCCAAACTGAGACAAATCTCAATCTCAATTTCTGATTTGAGAAAAATCTCAGATTTGAGCTGAGATTTTGACTTTGAGAACGTTAGTGAAAGCCGGGCCTGGTTTATACACACGACACGGCTTCTTATAGATTTGAACATTTGTAAGAAGTTTCATTAGAATCCCTCCGTACGTGTAGGAGATATGCTCTTAACAAAATCTCTATAATTATTTTATCATCTTTAGTGACCTTGACAATCATCTTAAGTGACATTGACCTTGCATATATTAAACTAAATTCACACCAGTAGTCATGAAAATGACCATTTGTGTTTCAAATCCCGCAATAAAAATGATGACTAAATGGTCCAAATACACCTATTCATATTTTTATCTGAAATTTGACCCCTATATGTGACATTGACCTTGGCCGCAGGGACCTAAATTTTGCATGCGACACTCCGCCTTGCAATAGTGAACATTTGTGGAAAGTAATATTGAAATCCCTTTATGCATGTAGAAGTTTTGCTCTGCAAAAAAAGCGTTTTTCAATTACCTATAAGTTTGTCCTTGATTTTTGACCTAGAAACCTGTTTTATGCACGAGACACGGTATTTATAGTAGTTAACATTTGTATGCAGTTTCATTAAAACCCCGCGGTATGTGTAGAAGATATGCTCTGGACAAAATCTCTATATTTTATTATCTTTAGTGACATTGACAATCATCTTAAATGACCTTGGCCTTTCAAATACTAACCTAAATTACATGTTTTGCATCAGTTGTCATAAAAAATGAACATTTGTGTTTCAATCCCTCAATAAATAATGACTAAATGGTCCCATTACACTTTTTCATATTTTATCTGAGTTTTGACGCCTGTGTGTGACCTTGACCTTGGCCGCAGGAACCTAAATTTGCAAGGCGACACTCCGTCTTACAATAGTGAACATTTTTGCCAAGTTATATTGAAATCCCTCTATGCATGTAGAAGTTTTGCTCCGGACAAGCGTTTTTCTACGACCTCTAAGTGTGACCTTGACCTTTGACCTAGAGATCTGGTTCATGCACGGGACACGGCTTTTTATAGTGGTGAACATTTGTATGAAGTTTCATTTTGATTCCTTTATGGGTGTAGGAGATATGCTCCGAACAAAAATCGGATGTCCCCCAGCCGCCCTCCGGGGGGTGGACTATAATACGACCTGTTTTTCACGCGGGCGTATAAAAATAAATAACTAAAAATACCATTTGTAAAGTCCAAAGTCAATCACGAAGAAAATTTCCATCTCGTAGTCGGTCGTCTGTCGCTTTTCTCTGGTATTTATTGTCTGCTCTGAGCGATTCTGCATCTTTCCTTCAGTTATTTTAGCGTCTGAACAAAAATGGATTGATTAAACTATAAGGTGTCTGAACAGGATCACTATCCGTAAACAAGCTATAACCATAAATATACTATTATGTGACCATATACCATTATATAACTATATATCATTACATTTGCGTATTTACAGAATAGCAATATCAGGTCAAATTGGGGATTCAAAGAAGATCTTCTTCACTATTGATATAAAATATTCCTAACGATTTTATTTTAGAAAACAAAGGGAATCAGCATATGTATTTAGTTTAACAACATAAACTTTTATCACTTGAAAAACCTGTGTCCGTTAATTTATATCTTGTTTTAAGTCTTTAATCAGAAAAAAAAGTTAATTGCATTGAAGGTAAAGTAATATTAAATGATGGGACACAGCAAACGAGCTACTCCTAAATTTACAATCGCAAAAATGCCAGATAAGTAAAAACATATATACACAGCAACCGTTGAATAAAAAATGAAACTTGATCAATATTGGAACTTTATCCGAGTCATTTATTTGCATGTGAACAAATCCACTAAAGACTGAGTTATACAACTAAAACCTTACCTGTGTCTGACAATTTAATATAATCAATCGATGTTGGCAGCTTTTCTTCCATTAGCGATACTGTGTAAGTACTTCGGTTATCCCTCGGTGGTTGTACCAAATATTTATGTTGTTTGGATACGAACGTTCCGTACTAGAATAACAATCGCTATTATATAACAGATATTTTGAATATATCATAACAACTCAACACAATGAATACAACATTTAATGCTTCTCGCATTTTTCATCCTCTTAATACGGGAACTCTTCTTTTTGGTAATGTTGCTTATTCCGAAGAAGGCAATTCATTTATATTTTTAGAAGTTCAAAGATACATTAAGCATACGGAACGTTTTTGTTAAAATCTGTTCAATGATTTTGATTTTTGCGCTTCAAAATCAAATGCAATTGCAAAATTTTTGTGGGATAATTCAATAACATTTCTATGTAATCTATAGTATAATTTTTTCTTTATTGTTTCAGGGACGAACCGAATTACTAATGTTATATGAATTTATGATCCCATCCTTTTTCTTTCAAAAATATATTTTTATACTTTTTTCTTTTAATTTACATTGTACATCTCTTGTAATAAAATGAAAGGAATAGAATATGTATAATGTAAAATAACAAACAATGGTCACCTTCTTATAATAAATAATAAAGCTTGCATCGTCTTCGTAGCAAAAACATTTTTTGTTATTTTTGCTTTTAAAAGTTTGAATGATGCTAAGACTTTGTTTTTAAAACTGACAAATCAATAAAGAAATGAAATTTGTATAATATTGCATAGGACTGTGGTGGATTGTTGTGGACGACTTTTGTTTGCCACAATTATACAAATTAATCATTACGAAAATTCTTATTTCCGTAACCTGTAAAGAAAATATCTTAAAGAAAAAAAATTACAAAAAAAACCCCTAACGTAACAGTATGAAGCGTTCAACGTGTATATGTTCGTGGGAAGACTCAATCTAATTTTAATAACGCTGAAAAGCCAACAAAGCAAGCAGTAAAATCCAAAATATTAATGAAAACACCATATGTACTCGTTTATGGTCTGTAACACCGCACTTTGGGGTCAAACGCACTATGGGATCCGACCCCAAAGTGCGGTAAACTTCACAGCGCACTTTGGGGGTCAAACGTACTTTGGGTTTCAGAGTTTTGAAGTCAACTGAGTTCTGCTTAAATACTGAGTACTGACTTATTTTCGATCTGCGACACTGAAATACTTGAGGCGGGGTTCGAGATGACGGTCGGTACTAATATATACATCAATATTTGTAAGTGTCATTTCATTAAATGCTGATGTAACAGTAATAACAAGAGCACGGCTAGGCGGAGCATTATATGCCCGAAAGTGATTTTTTTTAGAAAAAAAAATGAAACATTTGTAAGACATGGTAATTAAATAATTTTATTACGATGGATGGACAGAATGAAGCCTTGGATATAACATAATATAAGCAAATATTTAGGGCATATAATTAATGTACTCAATATATGTGATCATCCTATGAAGTTTGACAGTTGTAAAACTTTTAACAATATTAAGGTCATTTGATATTGACCTTTGACCTTGTGACCCCAATATAGATATGGATCTTTTATTCAATACAGGCAATCATCCACTGTAAGCCAAATGGAAGCTGTGTTATGCTCCGGAAAGCACAAATTTCTGTGTTAAGGTCATTGTGACCCTGACCTTTGATCTTATGAACTTAAAATCAATAGGGGTCATGTATTGGACATGGCTGTTCATCCTATAAAATTTTACAGCTGTAGGTTGATTAATATTTAAGTTTTTAAGCAAAACCCGTTTTCAGTTTTAAGGTTATAATGACCTGGACTTCGTAACCCAAAAATCAATAGGGGTATTCTACCCAATATTGATAATCATCCCATGAAGTTTGAACACAATGGGCCAAATGGGAATTAAGTTATGCTACGAAAACTGTTTTCAGTTTAAAGGTAATAGTAACCTTGACCTTTGAGCTGTTGACCAAAACATCAATAGGGGTCTTCTACCCAATATGAACAATCATCCTATGAAGTTTGAATATTGTTGGCCAAATTGAACTTAAGTTATGCTTCGGAAATTGTTATTAATTTTAAGGTTATAGTGACCTTGACCTTTTGACCCAAAAATCAATAGGGATTTTCTTCCCAATATTGGGATAAATATTGGGGTTCCGAATGGAACTTAAGTTATGCTCCGGAAACCAAATTGCCAACGGGCGGACGGACGTGTCAACATTTGGGGTTTATGTGCTTTTCTCGGATCTTTATGTGGCATTTTCCCCCATAAACCAGTAAAAATACCACATAAACCAGTCGGTTTACAGGATTTCCTTCTTTTTTTAACTAAAATAATGGACGGAATGAACCTCATAGACCATTTGTTGTTCGCCCGAACAGACAGACAGACGGACGGAAGGACGTGTTTTATTTATTTTACAATTTGAAATATCTAAAAGTTGCGACTATATAACAAACGGTTATATTACTTTAATTGCAAATGTATTCCTACAAATTAGAAAAATATCCTGTTTTTTCGGCCATTTACTGTCATATTTAACCTCATATTAAATACACGATGTGGGTGTAATAAAATGCAAACTAGAACTTCCACTGTCATGGCGTGAATACCCTCTCATACCACTTTGACAGAATTAACAGTGGCCATTTAAAGCTCTAGGACAAACTCCCTGCCAAATCTGAGGTTACTAAGCCAGTGCATTTCTAAGTTATGTATAATACATGCTTCAAAGGTGAAAATCAATACACTGGGGACAGGCATTTTTAAGCATTTGAGCAGACAAGCTTATTAATGTCAAATCCCTGTGACATTGACCTATAACACAGGCACTTAAAAATCAAAAGGGGTCATCTACAAGTCATAAACAACCTCAATACCAAATATGTCTTCAAGACTGTTGACCAAAGAATTCTAAAGCAATTGAGCGGACGAACTTTTTTAGTCAAGGGCCCTGTGACTTTAACCTTTGATCAAGTGACTTTAAAATCAATAGGGGTCACCATATGGTCATGATCAACCTCCATGCCAAATATGAAGACTGTTCGTCAACAGTTTCTTAAATGATTGGGCAGACAAACTTTTTGAAGTCAAAAATCCTGTTACCTTGACCTTTGACCAAGTGACCTCTAAATCAAAAGGGGTCACCTACTAATCATGACTAACCTCTATGCCAAATATAAAGACTTCTGGTCAATGAAATCTTATGTTATTAGGCAGACAAGCTTTTTTGAAGTCAAGACCCCTGTGACCTTGACCTTTGACCCGGTGACCTCAAAATAAATAGGGGTCATCTTTTCATCATGACGAACCTTCATGCCAAACATGAAGACCGTGGCTCAAAGGAATCTTAAGTTATTGGGTGGACAAGCTTTTTTCAATCCAGGCCCCTGACCTTGACCTTTGACCCAGTGACCTTAAAATCAATAGGGGTCATCTACTCAATTATGACTAACCTCCATGCCAAATTTGAAGACTGTTGTTCAAAGGAATCTTATGTCATTGGGCGGAAAAGCTTTATGAAGTCAAGGCCTCTGTGACCTTGACCTTTGACCAAGTGACCTCAAAATCAATCTAATCATATGACTAACCTCCATGCCAAATATAAGGGCTTGGGTAAAAGGAATCTTAAGTTATTTGGTGGACAATCTTTTGAAGTCAAGGCCCCTGTGACCTTGACCTTTGACCCATTGACCTAAAAATCAATAGGGAACATCTACTATTCATGACCAATATAACTACTAAATATGAAGTCTGTGGGTCAAAGGAATCTTAATTTATTGGGCGGACAATTTTTTTGAAATCAAGGCCCTTTGACCTTGACCTTTGACTTCAAAATCAATAAGGGTCACCTTATGGTCATGATCAACCTCCATGCTTAATATGAAGATTGTGGGTCAAAGGTTTCTTAAATGATTGGGCTGACAAGGTTTTTGAAGTCAAAGTCCATGTGACCTTGACCTTTGACCTAATGACCTAAAAATCAATAGGGGTCATCAACTTATCATGACCAATCTAAATATCAAATATGAAAACTGTTGGTCAAAGGAATCTTAAGTTAATGGGCGGACAAGCTTTTTGAAGTCAAGGCCCGTGTGGCCTTGACCTTTGACCCAGTGACATCAAAATCAATAGGGGTCATCTATTTATCATGACTAACCTCCATGCCAAACAGGAAGACTGTGGGTCAAAGGAATCTTAAGTTATTGGGTGGACAAGCTTTTTCAATCCAGACCCGTGACCATGACCTTTGACCCAGTGATCTCAAAATCAATAGGGGTCATCTATTCATTATGACTAACCTCCATTCCAAATATTAAGACTGTGGGTCAAATAAATCTGAGTTATTGGGCGGATAAGCTCTTGAAGTCAATGCCCCTGTGACCTTGACCTTTGACCCAGTGACCTCAAAATCAACAGGGATCATTTCCTATTCATGACCAATCTAACTACCAAATATAAAGACTGTGGGTCAAAGGATACTTAAGTTATTGGGCGGACAAGGAAAAACCGGCGACGAGGACGAGGAGACGGCCGGACGTCCGGACGGACAAGTTGATTCCAGTATACCCCCTTACAACTTCGTTGTGCGGGGGTATTATAATTTCATCTCAGTGCATTTTAATTTCTATCTTAATGACTTGTAACAAGTAAGTTAGAAATAGAATTTATCATAAAATGAATAAAGTTACGTGACGGTTACATCAAGCCGTTTTCATATCTGTTAATGCCTTAGAGTTCATCCCGTAAATCTTCATGATTTTTACGTTTGTCAGGTTATGATATTTTATGAAAGTAACCACTACTATAAGTAAATTTTAACTTTTCTTAAATATACTTTAATAATACTGCAACGACTTATTTTTAATTTGTGGCCATTTTGGACGCTGTCCTTAGACTGAAAAATAAATTTGAAAGGACTAAAGTTTTATGTAAAATTGTAAATTAAAAGCACGGGACAGTTTATACTGTGAATCAAAATAAACTTACGTAAAACTTCAGGTTTTGAAAGAAACGTACCACCAAAACAGCTGTCATTTTGGAATGAGACGAAATGTCTCTTTCCGAAAATTACAAAATATAAGTGATTGAAAAAAATTACTGCCATAATT